GTTAGATGGATATTATATTGATTTTAAAAATAATCGACAAATATCCATCACAAATAGTCATAAGCAAAGACTTGTAAAGCGAATGGTGCGTAACAGGAAAGATAAAAATTTTTACGAGAAGAGCGTTTTATGGATCTTCCTGTTGCTTCAAAAGGTTCATTTGGCGGTCAATATGATCGGATATCGCCATTTGTCATCGATATTAGAAGAAACTTGAAGCTTAAACCAGAAGAATTACCATCAAAAAAGCCAGATGTGATTCCCATGCTTGTTGAAGAAGCTGCTCGGGGTATTATTGAAGAAGGAAAATATATTGGAAAAGAACGACAAGCTGAAAAATTGGCTAAAATTCTTAGAGAACAAAAAAACAAAGGAATAAAAGAGGTATGTCAGCAATGCGCTTACATTTATTCGTTGGAAAGCTTTCTCTATAAAACGTTGCATACGACAATGAGATTAGTCGGAGACAAAGATCATGAACAAGAATGGAGAAGTAAAATTCGTACATTAAGACCATATTGTTTATTGCTCTGAAATGATCCATTTAATACGAAATTGAAAACCAAAAAGACACTTTATAGAGGAGCAAATTTGAAGTCTGAACAAATTTTTAATTACAAAGAAATGGCTAAACATCGCGATGAATATCGATCATTTGAAGCCTTTACATCGTGTAGTCGAAATCGTGAAAAAACAGAAGAATTGGGAAATACTTTATTCATTATGGAGGTTAAGTCTGCTTTTGTTGTTGATATCATTGAGTTTTCTGAATATCCAAATGAAGAAGAAGAACTTGTCACACATGGTGTTAGCTTTTATGTTAAAAACGTTGAGTTTGTTCTCAGAACGAATAAACATTTGATCTACTTGCAACTTCAACAATGGAAGTCTGGTAAGTAGAAAGAAATCTTTTCCAATAGTTATTATAATATGAAAAATATTCGTCCTTATTATTTTCATTTTCATTTATTTTGTCCTCTTATTATTACACTAGTTAACAAAGTTACAACTTCATCATACAAATGTATTGAAGTTCTAAGAATACAATATTTTA